CTCATTGATCGCTGGGACGTTTGCCTACAGCCGACACACTTTGTCATGGTGGGATGTGCTCATTGATCGCGGGGACGTTTGCCTACAGCCGACACACTTTGTCATGGTGAGATGTGCTCATTGATCGCTGGGACGTTTGCCTACAGCCGACACACTTTGTCATGGTGGGATGTGCTCATTGATGGTGGGGACGTTTGCCTACAGCCGACACACTTTGTCATGGTAGAGATGTGCTCATTGATGGTGGGGACGTTTGCCTACAGCCGACACACTTTGTCATGGTAGAGATGTGCTCATTGATGGTGGGGACGTTTGCCTACAGCCGACACACTTTGTCATGGTAGAGATGTGCTCATTGATGGTGGGGACGTTTGCCTACAGCCGACACACTTTGTCATGGTGAGATGTACTCATTGATCGCGGGGACGTTTGCCTACAGCCGACACACTTTGTCATGGTGAGATGTGCTCATTGATCGCTGGGACGTTTGCCTACAACCGACACACTTTGTCATGGTGGGATGTGCTCATTGATCGCGGGGACGTTTGCCTACAGCCGACACACTTTGTCATGGTGGGATGTACTCATTGATCGCGGGGACGTTTGCCTACAGCCGACACACTTTGTCATGGTGAGATGTGCTCATTGATCGCTGGGACGTTTGCCTACAGCCGACACACTTTGTCATGGTGGGATGTGCTCATTGATCGCGGGGACGTTTGCCTACAGCCGACACACTTTGTCATGGTGAGATGTGCTCATTGATCGCTGGGACGTTTGCCTACAGCCGACACACTTTGTCATGGTGGGATGTGCTCATTGATGGTGGGGACGTTTGCCTACAGCCGACACACTTTGTCATGGTAGAGATGTGCTCATTGATGGTGGGGACGTTTGCCTACAGCCGACACACTTTGTCATGGTAGAGATGTGCTCATTGATGGTGGGGACGTTTGCCTACAGCCGACACACTTTGTCATGGTAGAGATGTGCTCATTGATGGTGGGGACGTTTGCCTACAGCCGACACACTTTGTCATGGTGAGATGTACTCATTGATCGCGGGGACGTTTGCCTACAGCCGACACACTTTGTCATGGTGAGATGTGCTCATTGATCGCTGGGACGTTTGCCTACAGCCGACACACTTTGTCATGGTGGGATGTGCTCATTGATCGCGGGGACGTTTGCCTACAGCCGACACACTTTGTCATGGTGAGATGTGCTCATTGATCGCTGGGACGTTTGCCTACAGCCGACACACTTTGTCATGGTGGGATGTGCTCATTGATCGCGGGGACGTTTGCCTACAGCCGACACACTTTGTCATGGTGGGATGTACTCATTGATCGCGGGGACGTTTGCCTACAGCCGACACACTTTGTCATGTGTTTTCGTTATAAATTAAGTTAGTTATTGTACAGAAATTGTAAACATTAATTGCGAAAGTGAATTTTTATAAAAACATTTAATTTATACTTTTAAGGAAGCCTTTGCAGTTCTAATAACCTTACTAGGTAATAGCTTTGCGAATACTCCACCAATGCTTGCATAACATAAAATCACTCATACTGTTTAATTTTAGGCCCTAAGCGCTCCACATAAAAAAAAAAAAAAAAAAAAAAACAGCCAATCACGAATTAATTAATCATTCAAATTCTCAAAAGTTTTTTTTTTAAATCCTATCCTAAGCGAAGCTATGCAGTATGCCTAGTGTATATATATATATATATATATATATATATATATATATATATATATATATATATATATATATATATATATATATATATATATATATATATATATAATTTTTTAGGGTGGGAGGGGGGTGACACCATTAAGTGCCGCACCGTGTGACACCCGACCTCGCTACCCCACTGAGCCCAAAAGTCTTTAGTTCTGAAACCATTTTGTTTTTTATGAACTACTTCATTGTTTCAAGTATAAGTCTATGTTTAAGTCATGTAACAATAAACATTTATCATTTTAAAAGAAATAATTACGATGTCAGATGTATTGTAAACACCAATTTTACCTAACATTTCAAACGTAAATTGAATTTGTATAATATAATGTGAAATATATAATCGAGTATTATATTAGGAATTATATTAGGCATTATTTACCCTAATGTTGTTCACTGTCCCTAAATCTTCAAATAATACACCACGTGAAATGAACTTTTTTCATTAGTACTAGACCATTGGATGTTTTGTTTGTTGCGTTGTGTTGCTATGCTGTTGTCTTTAGCTTTGCATGATGTGTTATTTTTCTCTTGTGTTCTTTTGCGTTCTTCAAAAAGAAATTTAAAATTTGTTACATTGTAGCGAATCACGACTATGCAACTTATATATATATATATATATATATATATATATATATATATATATATATATATATATATATATATATATATATATATATATATATATATATATATATATATATATATATATATATATATATATATATATATATATATATATATATATATATATATATATATATATATATATATATATATATATATATATATATATATATATATATATATATATATATATATATATATATATATATATATATATATATATATATATATATATATATATATATATATATATATATATATATATATGTGTGTGTGTGTGTGTGTGTGTGTGTGTGTGTGTGTGTGTGGTGTGTGTGTTACAGCCCGAAGTCTGCAAAAGCGCGCATTGGCTAATAAAGCCTCTCATTGATCGGCCAAAGTTCGAAACTTTACTTCATCTCGGCCTTTGGCCAGCCAATTCACGGACTGGCCATGGTAGACCGGCCAAAGTCTGAAATGGCTCTTGTTTTCGGCCTTTGGCCGACCAGTACGCGGACTGGCCATGGTGGACCGGCCAGTCCGAATTAGAAGATCATCTGGCTAGGGAAGACCGGTCGAAGTCCGAATTAGAAGATCATGAACAGATTCGTGAAGAATTGAAAACTCACTTCTAGCATATAGTTGTTTAAATACACCATGTTCCGTTCCTAGCTTGTAGGAAGCGCCCTCGACGCTCATGACAACTGCAATGACGCTTCGGGCATCACCGCGACCTCTGTCAACATCTGGTATACTGATGCGAACATTATCTCCCAGTTCAGCTTGTTTAAAATTTGTATCTGATTTTGTTAGCATCTTAGCACCTTGGGTTTGCAAGCCAGTATGAGCTGCTGACCTGTTCATAATTTCTTGTTTATTGTGAAATAATCTGGAAATAATGTTCCCGCCGTACTCTTCGTCTGCTTCATTGACTATTCCGCATATTGCATGGGCATCGTTGTCACAGGATCCACAAAAATGGGCTCCACTACAATATTTTTCACAAACTACACAGAATCTGCTGGCCTTATTATTGTCACGCAACTGGTCTGGACGTTCCGCCACGGCAGCAGATGTGTTAGCTGAAAATATCGCTGCATTTATGGCAACCTCCATTTCTTGTTCAATGTTCTCAAGATCTTCCTCGGTAGCTAAATTATCGAGAGCATCTCTTGGTAGATTTAAAGTGTTAAGTCCCACTTTTGCTTTGCGTCCAAATAAGGCTTCGTACGGCGATTGTTGGATTCCTTGATGAAAGAACGGTTTTTTATAAATTGAATAAATTTGACTCTCAGCCCAATGAGCTGATTCATTTGTCTGCATCCATGTCATCATCATATTTTGAACATCTTGTTGGCAAGTTCTTCTGAACCTTGGCTTTGGCTATGCCTTGGTTTTCCGTGAACTACTTTAATTTCAGGCCACATGATCTTTAGTTCAGAAATATTTTGACAGCCATCTGGTATGTCTGTTTCTTGGTCTGACGGCCCTTTTGGTCCATGTCGCATTACATATAGAATGCTATACAAACAAGAGCCAAACAATACGTTACTCACAATGAAACCGCACCCAGAATAATGAAAACGCGATCACAACTTAGTCTAGACAGGACATTGACCAGGACATCCCGGCCAGTGCGCGTATTGGCCGGCCCATGTGAGAGTACGCTCACAGTACTAAGCTCTTCGGGCTTTAGCCAAGAGAGCCGGCCAATGCGCACATTGGCCGGCCAATGCTTGCTTTGGCCGCACTTCGGGCTTTGACCGTAACATATATATATATATATATATATATATATATATATATATATATATATATATATATATATATATATATATATATATATATATATATATATATATATATATATATATATATATATATATATATATATATATATATATATATATATATATATGAAGGCGCCTCTTTGGGCGGCTACAGGACATTACCCCCCTGGATATTTCCCCCCCCCCCGGACATTTCCCCGCGTATTTACCCCCCGGAGCAATTACCCCCTGTCAATTACCCCCCTGTCAATTACCCCCCCCCCCAGAGAATTACCCCCCCCCCCCCCTATCAAGTTAAAATCCTAACTCTAACTAGAATTTTTCTTCCTATATACTACTTTAATCCAAACCTTAAGAAAAAGACCAAAACCTAAGCATCCACCTTAGCCTAAAACTTCACTCAAAACCAAAACCAAAGCTAGACACAACCCTAACCCTAAAACTAGCTCTAACCCTAACCCTAGCCCTAACCCAAACCCTAGCCCTAAACCTAAACCTAGCCCTAGCCCTAACCCTAACCCTAACCCTAACCCTAACCTTAACCCTAGCCCTAAAACCTAACCCTAACCATAACCATAACCCCAGCCCTAAAACCTAACCCTAACCCAAACCCTAACCCTAGCCCTAGCCCTAGCCCTAACCCTAACCCTACCTCTAATTAATGTCCTACTGGGTGGGGGGTAATTGACAGGGGGGTAATTACTCTGGGGGGTAATGTCGGGGGGGGGGGGAAATATCCGGGGGGTAATTGACAGGGGGGAAATGCCCTGTTCCCCTTTGGACTCGCTGCTCTCCTAGACAAAAACTTGTGTACGCCGCTGGTTACTAATAAAATATTAGTAAAAAGGTAAAACTGACCTGCATTTAGCCAGTACAAGCTTTTAAACATTCCCATTTCATCTTTGATGTTTCTCGCGTCTCCGATAAAGTCCAAAGACGTGTGGAACTGCAGGTTAAATAAATATTGATTAAGCTACAAGACCATAAACTTTTTTTCTCAAAGTAAATGTTGAATATAAGTTACAAAGATCATAAACATTTTTTCTCAAAGTAAATATTGAATATAAGCTACAAGACCATACACATTTTTTCTCAAAGTAAATATTTAATTTAAGCTACAAGACCATACACATTTTTTCTCAAAGTAAATATTGAATAAGCTACCTGACTATAAACATTTTTTCTCAAAGTTTCTCATCTTCAAGTACCACTAAAAGTTTTCTAAAGACTACATTAACAGTCGAATCTACTTTCTAGTTCTAAATAACGTATCATTGCGAGAGTCCTTATTAAACTCTTCAGCATGATGTTGATAATCTATTTCAACTCTTTTAACAATGGCCAAGTAACCCGACCATGTCGGGAACTAACCGAACTTCGTGTTTTTGCCGTAACATATAACCCTCTCCTTAAACATAACCCTATAGCAGTGGCGTAGCTAGGATTTTCGGGCCCCTGTGCAAAAATTATAATTGGGCCCCTACGTCAATCTGTAAATTATGTAAAATTATGTATTTTATACGTCTTAATTGTATATTTATAAGGTATTATTATGTAGTATCCCGTAACGTAAAATACCTTTGATTTTATATCACTTTTATGTAAAAACAAACCAACAAATTAACTGCGGCACGCAAGCCGTATGCGGCTCTTTTGATATCAATATGCGGCTCTCCAGTTCCACAATAATCATTTTAATTTTCAAAACTAAAATAAAAATATTATAATGTAAAAACAAAAACAACTTTTAACAAAGTAAAAACAATAAGAATAGGTGGAGTAGTGTAGAGCGTTTATATACACAGACTTTTTTCTCCGGGGGTCCGGAGGCACGACGACTTGGGGGGGGGGGGGGGGGGGCGCCACTGGTAAAAGTATGTTTTCAATATAAATTCCATTTTGTTAGGGAGGGGGTGGTAGACTTTCTTCAGGGGGGGGGGGGTTTCAAGAAACTCTGGCCCAGCCCCACAACTGTGCTGTGGCCAGCCCCGTGGCAATGGTTCCATGTTTTCTACTACTGCAGTGTATATAAAAGTGTGAGTGGCTCTTTAAAAATTGGGTAATTTTGTAGATTGTAACTTTTAGCTATTTCGTCTCGAAATGTTGATGTCCCCTACTATAGTGTTATTAAGACCGGTGGGCCTTGTACAACCGCTCCCTAGTAAGGAAAGTCCAGGGGCCTTTTTAAAAAAAAACTTTTGATTACTTGTACAGTAGAAAAGAAACTGGATTTCCGTTTTCTTTTTAAAATTATGTTTATAATACACATTTTAAAATTCCAATGTAAAAGTTTAACAAAATTTCAAGAGGGAAACGGGCCCCTATTTGCCCTGGGCCCCTATGCCTTGCTTACGCTAGCTTTACGGTAGCTACGCCACTGCCCTATAGCTATACCAATAGCTGACTACGATTCAATTAAATGACTAATTTTGTAATTTATTTCAATTAATAAGTATGGACGTACTTTCATTATTATAACGGTATACACACAATCTGCTGGTCTAAAGTGTAAGCAAACACTCCATTAATCCAGTAACGTGTAAGCACTCAACCAATTGTTCTAATCTAGTGTGTAAGCACTCAATCAACTGTTCTAATCTAGGGTGTAAGCACTCAATCAAATGTTCTAATCTTGTGTGTAAGCACTCAATCAATTGTTCTAATCTAGTGTGTAAGCATTCAATCAATTGTTCGAATCTAGTGTGTAAGCACTCAATCAATTGTTCTAATCTAGTGTGTAAGCACTCAATCGATTGTTCTAATCTAGTGTGTAAGCACTCAATCAAATGTTCTAATCTAGTGTGTGAGCACTCAATCAATTGTTCTAACCTTACCTTATACATGATCCAGTATCTGAGGGAGAAAGTGGCTATATACATCCCAATGAGAACGACGTCCAGCAAGTTATAAAGGTCCAGCATGTGTTCCATCAGACCATTGTGAAACAGCTGGTTACATTCCTGACACAACATGCCTGGTGATTTAAAGCAGTTGGTTACATTACACAAATCAGATTGCATCCCTCCCTCACCAACTTACAGATGATCCACAAGCCCATGCCCCACCCCTCCCTCACCAACTTACAGATGATCCACAAGCCCATGCCCCCTCCCTCACCAACTTACAGATGATCCACAAGCTCATGCCCCACCCCTCCCTCACCAACTTACAGATGATCCACAAACTCATGCCCCACCCCTCCCTCACCAACTTACCGATGATCCACAAGCCCATGCCCCACCCCTCACCAACTTACAGAAGATCCACAAGCCCATGCCCCACCCCTCCCTCACCAACTTACAGATGATCCACAAGCCCATGCCCCACCCCTCACCAACTTACAGATGATCCACAAGCCCATGCCCCACCCCTCCCTCACCAACTTACAGATGATCCACAAGCTCATGCCCCCTCCCTCACCAACTTACAGATGATCCACAAGCTCATGCCCCACCCATCCCTCACCAACTTACCAATGATCCACAAGCTCATGCCCCACCCCTCCCTCAGCAACTTACAGATGATCCACAAGCCCATGCCCCACCCCTCACCAACTTACAGATGATCCACAAGCCCATGCCCCACCCCTCCCTCAGCAACTTACAGATGATCCACAAGCCCATGCCCCACCCCTCACCAACTTACAGATGATCCACAAGCCCATGCCCCACCCCTCCCTCACCAACTTACAGATGATCCACAAGCCCATGCCCCACCCCTCACCAACTTACAGATGATCCACAAGCCCATGCCCCACCCCTCACCAACTTACAGATGATCCACAAGCTCATGCCCCCTCCCTCACCAACTTACAGATGATTCACAAGCTCATGCCCCACCCCTCCCTCACCAACTTACAGATGATTCACAAGCCCATGCCCCACCCCTCCCTTACCAACTTACAGATGATCCACAAGCTCATGCCCCACCCCTCCCTCACCAACTTACAGATGATCCACAAGCCCATGCCCCCTCCCTCACCAACTTACAGATGATCCACAAGCCCATGCCCCACCCCTCCCTCACCAACTTACAGATGATCCACAAGCCCATGCCCCACCCCTCACCAACTTACAGATGATCCACCTGCCCATGCCCCACCCCCCCTCACCAACTTACAGATGATCCACAAGCTCATGCCCCACCCCTCACCAACTTACAGATGATCCACCTGCCCATGCCCCACCCCCCCTCACCAACTTACAGATGATCCACAAGCTCATGCCCCACCCATCCCTCACCAACTTACCAATGATCCACAAGCCCATGCCCCACCCCTCCCTCACCAACTTACAGATGATCCACAAGCCCATGCCCCACCCCTCACCAACTTACAGATGATCCACAAGCCCATGCCCCACCCCTCCCTCACCAACTTACAGATGATCCACAAGCCCATGCCCCACCCCTCCCTCACCAACTTACAGATGATCCACAAGCTCATGCCCCACCCCTCACCAACTTACAGAAGATCCACAAGCCCATGCCCCACCCCTCCCTCACCAACTTACAGATGATCCACAAGCCCATGCCCCACCCCTCACTAACTTACCAATGATCCACAAGCCCATGCCCCACCCCTCCCTCACCAACTTACAGATGATCCACAAGCCCATGCCCCACCCCTCACCAACTTACAGATGATCCACAAGCTCATGCCCCACCCCTCCCCTCACCAACTTACAGAAGATCCACAAGCTCATGCCCCACCCCACCCCTCACTAACTTACCAATGATCCACAAGCTCATGCCCCACCCCCCCTCACCAACTTACAGATGATTCACAAGCTCATGCCCCACCCCTCCCTCACCAGCTTACACATGATCCACAAGCTCATGCCCCACCCCCCTCACCAACTTACAGATGATCCACAAGCACATGCCCCACCCCTCACCAACTTACAGATGATCCACAAGCTCATGCCCCACCCCTCACCAACTTACAGATGATCCACCTGCCCATGCCCCACCCCCCCTCACCAACTTACAGATGATCCACAAGCACATGCCCCACCCCTCACCAACTTACAGATGATCCACCTGCCCATGCCCCACCCCCCCTCACCAACTTACAGATGATCCACAAGCTCATGCCCCACGCCTCACCAACTTACAGATGATCCACCTGCCCATGCCCCACCCCTCCCGTACCAACTTACCGATGATCCACAAGCCCATGCCCCACCCCTACCTCACCAACTTACCGATGATCCATAAGCTCATCAGCATCTCAGTGATGCTGGGGAAACTAGGCCGCAGGGGGAAGTCCGGACCGTACACGGTGTCGTTGTATTCCTCCTGGTACTGGCGATACCTGTTGGGTGGGCCGGGAACGACTTTTAAAACTGACACCAATTGTATTACATAGATAAACATCGGTACTGATCTATCGCATTCCTTTTTGTCCTACATAATGTAATATTTAGTCAAATTCTAAATCTTTTAAAGATGTAACTCAAGAATACTATGTGTATCACAGTGACGTAAGCAGGTTGTCTGGGTAGGGTAGGCGCCATGTTCTGGCCGGGCGTTCAACTAGGCACCGAAAATTATGCATGCGGGAAGTCTTTAAAGATTAGGTATTTACAAGACATAACAGTCCCCAATGAACCTTTGTTGTTGATAGGTACAAAATCAAGTTGCTGACCTCTGCCTACACATCTGGTATAACTATACGTGTCCAATATAATTCAATGTCAAATAACGGCACTAGTCCAGTATTATAAGATGTCAACCTTGCAACAGTTGACAATTTTGTTTGGTCACGTGTTTCACTGTGATCAAACAAACACACGTGATCTCAGGTTAACCAGTCACTTCCCAGTGATCTTTATATTCTGTACGTAATGTCCTATATTTACTTACACTTCCCAGTGATCTTTATATTCTGAACGTAATGTCCTATATTTACTGACACTCTGGGAAGATTCGATGGTAGAAACAACAATGAGTAGAAGAAAAGCCATAAAAGACATCGCATTGCATAAGAACTTGACCACAGGGAACTGCAGGACTTTGGCAGGCTAAAGAAATGGAATCCAACAGGTTAAGTCATTACGTCATTGTTTTAAAACATAGTTGTTATGGCAAACAAAGGTAGGTGACTGGCGAACAATTGGCAGATACACAACTGACAGATACACAGCTGACAGATACACAACTGACAGATACACAACTGACAGATACACAACTGACAGATAAACAACTGACAGATACACAACTGACAGATACACAACTGACAAATACACCACTGACAGATACACAACTGACAGATACACAACTGACAGATACACAACTGACAGATACACAACTGACAGATACACCACTGACAGATATACAACTGACAGATACACAACTGACAGATATACAACTGACAGATACACTACTGTACTGACAGATAAACAACTGAAAGATACATAACAGATTCGCAACTGAAAGATACATAACTGAAGATACACAACTGACAGATACAATACTGTATAGACAGATACACAACTGACAGATATACAAACGACAGACAACTGACAAACAGACAACTTAACACCGGACAACGAACAGCTTACCCCGAGCGATTTAGAAACATAAACACTACCTTGCAATCGGGACAGATAATGTGTAGAAAAACCAGAAATGGGTAGGCACAAGAAAACAATGAGATCATGGTCAGTCGCTTGGGCCATCCAGCACGCTCCAACTTGCCCATCCCGTTGTACCAAAGCCTGACCACACGTTGCTGGCAGCTGGGGTGAGCGATGAACTGAAACAACACGCGAAAATTTAGCCTTGGTCTATATGTTACATATAGGCTTTGGTTTAGCTCATAGGCTACCGAACAACTTGGCAATTGGAGCGTATTGTTGTCTATAGAAAACACTACCTTTTTCTCCTTATACTTGAGGGCCAGTTTAAATCTGGCCAAACTCTCAAACTTTTCTTGATGTGGTTTCCCCGTCTTGTTTAAGACAAGTTCCAGTTCTTTTTGTGTTCTAATTCTGTCCAGAAGTTTGACCACATAATCACTCAGCTGGTCTGCTAGGTCACGGTACTCACGCTGTCAATACAAGGGGGGGGGGGAGAGGGGGTGCTTACACATTGCTGGAGCAATGGACTGAGTGCTTACACATTACTAGAGCAATGGACTGAGTGCTTACACATTACTAGAACAATGGACTGAGTGCTCACACATTACTAGAACAATGGACTGCGTGCTTACACATTACTAGAGCAATGGACTGAGTGCTTACACATTACTAGAACAATGGACTGAGTGCTCACACATTACTAGAACAATGGACTGCGTGCTTACACATTACTAGAACAATGGACTGAGTGCTCACACATTACTAGAACAATGGACTGAGTGCTCACACATTACTAGAACAATGGACTGCGTGCTTACACATTACTAGAACAATGGACTGAGTGCTCACACATTACTAGAACAATGGACTGCGTGCTTACATATTACTAGAGCAATGGACTGAGTGCTTACACATTACTGGAGCAATGGACTGAGTGCTTACACATTACTAGAGCAATGGACTGAGTGCTTACACATTACTAGAGCAATGGACTGAGTGCTTACACATTACTGGAGCAATGGACTGAGTGCTTACACATTACTGGAGCAATGGACTCAGTGCTTACACATTACTAGAGCAATGGACTGAGTGCTTACACATTACTGGAGCAATGGACTGAGTGCTTACACATTACTGGAGCAATGGACTGAGTGCTTACACATTACTAGAGCAATGGACAGAGTGCTTACACATAACTAGAACAATGGTCTGCGTGCTTACACATTACTAGAACAATGGACTGAATTCTTACACAGTAGACAGAAAAATGGAGTAGATGAGGTCTTCAGTGTACAAAAACAAGACCGAACAAAAGTTTGGAAATCAATGTGTGTACAAAAACGTTGGACATCAAGGTGTGTACAAAAACGTTGGACATCAAGGTGTGTACAAAAACTTTGGACATCAACGTGTGTACAAAAACGTTGGACATCAACGTGTGTACAAAAACGTTGGACATCAACGTGTGTACAAAAACGTTGGACATCAAGATGTGTACAAAAACGTTGGACATCAAGATGTGTACAAAAAAGTTGGACATCAACGTGTGTACAAAAACGTTGTTGAGCAGAAAACGTAAAAAAAACAACAACTGACCACTGACTAAAAGAATCAACTTTCGCCTGGTGTCAATGTCAAGGCACTGACCTTAAAATGTTTCTCGACCCTTGACAACCTCCTCAGCTCAGCTGCCAGCTCAAAAGCTGTAAGAATCGGATCTTTACTGGACAAGGAGATGTAGGCCTCACTGGCCAGACCTCTGTAGGCATTCAGGCGATATTTGGCTAGGCGGAGCTGGTCAAACTTCATGCGGTTTCGACATTCCTTCAAGTAGAACACATTTATAAATAAACTAATTTAGAAATAGAGGTGGGGGTATTTCTATTTTCGTCGTTTATTTTAACAGTGCAATCCTTATTTTTTTACACGACACCCCCAGCTAAAGTGGTGTGGTCTCAATGTTGTAGAACTAGTTACCTGACACCCCCAGCTAAAGTGGTGTGGTCTCAATGTTGTAGAACTAGTTACCTGACACCCCCAGCTAAAGTGGTGTGGTCTCAATTTTGTAGAACTAGTTACCTGACACCCCCAGCTAAAGTGGTGTGGTCTCAATGTTGTAGAACTAGTTACCTGACACCCCCAGCTAAAGTGGTGTGGTCTCAATGTTGTAGAACTAGTTACCTGACACCCCCAGCTAAAGTGGTGTGGTCTCAATGTTGTAGAACTAGTTACCTGAAACCCCCAGCTAAAGTGGTGTGGTCTCAATGTTGTAGAACTAGTTACCTGACACCCCCAGCTAAAGTGGTGTGGTCTCAATGTTGTAGAACTAGTTACCTGACACCCCCAGCTAAAGTGGTGTGGTCTCAATGTTGTAGAACTAGGTACCTGACACCCCCAGCTAAAGTGGTGTGGTCTCAATGTTGTAGAACTAGTTACCTGACACCCCCAGCTAAAGTGGTGTGGTCTCAATGTTGTAGAACTAGTTACCTGACACCCCCAGCTAAAGTGGTGTGTCTCAATGTTGTAGAACTAGTTACCTGACACCCCCAGCTAAAGTGGTGTGGTCTCAATGTTGTAGAACTAGTTACCTGACACCCCCAGCTAAAGTGGTGTGGTCTCAATGTTGTAGAACTAGTTACCTGACAGCCACAGCTAAAGTGGTGTGGTCTCAATGTTGTAGAACTAGTTACCTTACAGCCACAGCTAAAGTGGTGTGGTCTCAATGTTGTAGAACTAGTTACCTGACACCCCCAGCTAAAGTGGTGTGGTCTCAATGTTGTAGAACTAGTTACCTGACAGCCACAGCTAAAGTGGTGTGGTCTCAATGTTGTAGAACTAGTTACCTGACACCCCCAGCTAAAGTGGTGTGGTCTCAATGTTGTAGAACTAGTTACCTGACAGCCCCAGCTAAAGTGGTGTGGTCTCAATGTTGTAGAACTAGTTACCTGACACCCCCAGCTAAAGTGGTGTGGTCTCAATGTTGTAGAACTAGTTACCTGACACCCCCAGCTAAAGTGGTGTGGTCTCAATGTTGTAGAACTAGGTACCTGACACCCCCAGCTAAAGTGGTGTGGTCTCAATGTTGTAGAACTAGTTACCTGACACCCCCAGCTAAAGTGGTGTGGTCTCAATGTTGTAGAACTAGTTACCTGACACCCCCAGCTAAAGTGGTGTGGTCTCAATGTTGTAGAACTAGTTACCTGACAGCCCCAGCTAAAGTGGTGTGGTCTCAATGTTGTAGAACTAGTTACCTGACAGCCCCAGCTAAAGTGGTGTGGTCTCAATGTTGTAGAACTAGTTACCTGACAGCCACAGCTAAAGTGGTGTGGTCTCAATGTTGTAGAACTAGTTACCTGACAGCCACAGCTAAAGTGGTGTGGTCTCAATGTTGTAGAACTAGTTACCTGACACCCCCAGCTAAAGTGGTGTGGTCTCAATGTTATAGAACTAGTTACCTGACACCCCCAGCTAAAGTGGTGTGGTCTCAATGTTGTAGAACTAGTTACCTGACACCCCCAGCTAAAGTGGTGTGGTCTCAATGTTGTAGAACTAGTTACCTGACAGCCCCAGCTAAAGTGGTGTGGTCTCAATGTTGTAGAACTAGTTACCTGACAGCCACAGCTAAAGTGGTGTGGTCTCAATGTTGTAGAACTAGTTACCTGACACCCCCAGCTAAAGTGGTGTGGTCTCAATGTTGTAGAACTAGTTACCTGACACCCCCAGCTAAAGTGGTGTGGTCTCAATGTTGTAGAACTAGTTACCTGACACCCCCAGCTAAAGTGGTGTGGTCTCAATGTTGTAGAACTAGTTACCTGACACCCCCAGCTAAAGTGGTGTGGTCTCAATGTTGTAGAACTAGTTACCTGACAGCCACAGCTAAAGTGGTGTGGTCTCAATGTTGTAGAACTAGTTACCTGACACCCCCAGCTAAAGTGGTGTGGTCTCAATGTTGTAGAACTAGTTACCTGACAGCCCCAGCTAAAGTGGTGTGGTCTCAATGTTGTAGAACTAGTTACCTGACAGCCCCAGCTAAAGTGGTGTGGTCTCAATGTTGTAGAACTAGTTACCTGACACCCCCAGCTAAAGTGGTGTGGTCTCAATGTTGTAGAACTAGTTACCTGACACCCCCAGCTAAAGTGGTGTGGTCTCAATGTTGTAGAACTAGTTACCTGACACCCCCAGCTAAAGTGGTGTGGTCTCAATGTTGTAGAACTAGTTACCTGACAGCCACAGCTAAAGTGGTGTGGTCTCAATGTTGTAGAACTAGTTACCTGACACCCCCAGCTAAAGTTGTGTGGTCTCAATGTTGTAGAACTAGTTACCTGACACCCCCAGCTAAAGTGGTGTGGTCTCAATGTTGTAGAACTAGTTACCTGACACCCCCAGCTAAAGTGGTGTGGTCTAAATGTTGTAGAACTAGTTACCTGACACCCCCAGCTAAAGTGGTGTGGTCTCAATGTTGTAGAACTAGTTACCTGACAGCCACAGCTAAAGTGGTGTGGTCTCAATGTTATAGAACTAGTTACCTGACACCCCCAGCTAAAGTGGTGTGGTCTCAATGTTGTAGAACTAGTTACCTGACAGCCACAGCTAAACTTGTGTGGCTTGGTGATTGTCTCCCCTCTCAGCAGCAAGAGCTGCACGATCTCGTACTGGTTTTTTTGTGAGGACAAGATGAGGGGGGTTATGTCAGGAGAAAACTGCGAGTCGGGAAACGCTGTCTTGTAAAAGCCATCTGAAATGGCAGAAAGGCGATGTTTAATGTGTTGGTTTTTATAATACAATGTGTTAACATTTCGTGTCATACAGATTAACATGATATTTAAAAATTATTTTGACAAGAAGTGTGTACAAATATATTGTGTACCCCAACAGTATGGTGTGTACCTGTGTACAAATGTATTGTGTACCCCAAGAGTATGGTGTGTACCTGTGTCTCCCAACTTCCGGCGCTCCTTCCACATCTCCAGGTAGCGTCTATGTTTGAGAATGGTCTCAGCGATCTGAGTATGTCCAGCACTGATAGCCTGTAGCACAGCCTCATAGATGTGGTGCTGGTTGGACTTCTCCAGCAACACCTCCACCACCTGCACAGACATCGATACACTCAGCCATTCAGGGGAGGTAACATCACACGGACATTCAGGTAAGGGGAGGTAACATCACACGGACATGCACTCCAAACTTAGGTTAGGGGAGGTAACATCACACGGACATGCACTCCAAACTTTTGTAAGGGGAGGTAACATCACACGGACATGCACTCCAAACATTTGTAAGGGGAGGTAACATCACACGGACATGCACTCCAAACTTTTGTAAGGGGAGGTAACATCACACGGACATGCACTCCAAACTTAGGTTAGGGGAGGTAACATCACACGGACATTCAATCCAAACTTAGGTTAGGGGAGGTAACATCACACGGACATGCACTCCAAACTTAGGTTAGGGGAGGTAACATCACACGGACATTCAATCCAAACATTTGTAAGGGGAGGTAACATCACACGGACATGCACTCCAAACTTTTGTAAGGGGAGGTAACATCACACGGACATGCACTCCAAACTTAGGTTAGGGGAGGTAACATCACACGGACATGCACTCCAAACTTTTGTAAGGGGAGGTAACATCACACGGACATGCACTCCAAACTTTTGTAAGGGGAGGTAACATCACACGGACATGCACTCCAAACTTAGGTAAGGGGAGGTAACATCACACGGACATTCAATCCAAACTTAGGTTAGGGTGAGGTCACAACACACTGAGACACCAATAAAGCTTGGATAATAGAAACGTTACCTCCAGATGTTCATTTTTGACAGCAAGCCTTAAGGCAGTCCTACCGAGCGCGTCTATGCAGTCGATGTTTAGATCAACACAATCGTTTAGGATCCTCTTCACGTTTGGTATGTCACCAAACTCGGCGGCATGGAGAAATTCTTCTTCCAGGTCTACATACTACAAGACAGTAGGTCACATATTGACTTCAGTCTACATACTACAAGACAGTAGGTCACTTATTGACTTCAATCTACATACTACAAGACAGTAGGTCACATATTGACTTCAGTCTACATACTACAAGACAGTAGGTCACATATTGACCAGTCTACATAAAGACAGTAGGTCACATATTGACTTCAGTCTACATTAAGACAGTAGGTCACATATTGACTTCAGTCTACATACTACAAGACAGTAGGTCACATATTGACCAGTCTACATAAAGACAGTAGGTCACATATTGACTTCAATCTACATATTACAAGGCAGCAGTCACATATTGACTTCAGTCTACATTAAGACAGTAGGTCACATATTGACCAGTCTACATACTACAAGGCAGTAGGTTACATATTGACTTCAGTCTACATACTACAAGACAGTAGGTCACATATTGACTTCAGTCTACATACTACAAGACAGTAGGTCACATAATGACTTCAGTCTACATACTACAAGACAGTAGGTCACATATTGACTTCAGTCTACATACTACAAGACAGTAGGTCACATATTGACTTCAGTCTACATACTACAAGACAGTAGGTCACATATTGACTTCAGTCTACATACTACAAGACAGTAGGTCACATATTGACCAGTCTACATAAAGACAGTAGGTCACATATTGACTTCAATCTACATACTACAAGACAGTAGGTCACATATTGACTTCAGTCTACATTAAGACAGTAGGTCACATATTGACCAGTCTACATACTACAAGACAGTAGGTCACATATTGACTTCAGTCTACATTAAGACAGTAGGTCACATATTGACTTCAGTCTACATACTACAAGACAGTAGGTCACATATTGACCAGTCTACATAAAGACAGTAGGTCACATATTGACTTCAATCTACATATTACAAGGCAGCAGTCACATATTGACTTCAGTCTACATTAAGACAGTAGGTCACATATTGACCAGTCAACATACTACAAGGCAGTAGGTTACATATTGACTTCAGTCTACATACTACAAGACAGTAGGTCACATATTGACTTCAGTCTACATACTACAAGACAGTAGGTCACATAATGACTTCAGTCTACATACTACAAGACAGTAGGTCACATATTGACTTCAGTCTACATACTACAAGACAGTAGGTCACATATTGACTTCAGTCTACATACTACAAGACAGTAGGTCACATATTGACTTCAGTCTACATACTACAAGACAGTAGGTCACATATTGACCAGTCTACATAAAGACAGTAGGTCACATATTGACTTCAATCTACATACTACAAGACAGTAGGTCACATATTGACTTCAGTCTACATTAAGACAGTAGGTCACATATTGACCAGTCTACATACTACAAGACAGTAGGTCACATATTGACTTCAGTCTACATTAAGACAGTAGGTCACATATTGACTTCAGTCTACATACTACAAGACAGTAGGTCACATATTGACCAGTCTACATAAAGACAGTAGGTCACATATTGACCAGTCTACATACTACAAAGCAGTAGGTTACATATTGACTTCAGTCTACATACTACAAGACAGTAGGTCACATATTGACTTCAGTCTACATACTACAAGACAGTAGGTCACATAATGACTTCAGTCTACATACTACAAGACAGTAGGTCACATATTGACTTCAGTCTACATACTATAAGACAGTAGGTCACATATTGACTTCAGTCTACATACTACAAGACAGTAGGTCACATATTGACTTCAGTCTACATACTACAAGACAGTAGGTCACATATTGACCAGTCTACATAAAGACAGTAGGTCACATATTGACTTCAATCTACATACTACAAGACAGTAGGTCACATATTGACTTCAGTCTACATTAAGACAGTAGGTCACATATTGACCAGTCTACATACTACAAGACAGTAGGTCACATATTGACTTCAGTCTACATTAAGACAGTAGGTCACATATTGATTTCAGTCTACATACTACAAGACAGTAGGTCACATATTGACCAGTCTACATAAAGACAGTAGGTCACATATTGACTTCAATCTACATATTACAAGGCAGCAGTCACATATTGACTTCAGTCTACATTAAGACAGTAGGTCACATATTGACCAGTCTACATACTACAAGGCAGTAGGTTACATATTGACTTCAGTCTACATACTACAAGACAGTAGGTCACATATTGACTTGAGTCTACATACTACAAGACAGTAGGTCACATATTGACTTCAGTCTACATACTACAAGACAGTAGGTCACATAATGACTTCAGTCTACATACTACAAGACAGTAGGTCACATATTGACTTCAGTCTACATACTACAAGACAGTAGGTCACATATTGACTTCAGTCTACATAAAGACAGTAGGTCACATATTGACTTCAGTCTACATACTACAAGACAGTAGGTCACATATTGACTTCAATCTACATAAAGACAGTAGGTCACTTATTGACCAGTCTACATACTACAAGACAGTAGGTCACATATTGACTTCAGTCTACATACTACAAGACAGTCGGTCACATATTGACCAGTCTACATAAAGAAAGTAGGTCACATATTGACCAGTCTACATATTACAAGACAGTAGGTCACATATTGACTTCAGTCTACATAAAGACAGTAGGTCACATATTGACCAGTCTACATATTACAAGACAGTAGGTCACATATTGACTTCAATCTACATACTACAAGACAGTAGGTCACATATTGACTTCAATCTACATACTACAAGACAGTAGGTCACATATTGACTTCAGTCTACATACTACAAGACAGTAGGTCACATATTGGCTTCAATCTACATAAAGACAGTAGGTCACATATTGACTTCAATCTACATTAAGACAGTAGGTCACATATTGACTTCAGTCTACATACTACAAGACAGTTGGTCACATATTGACTTCAGTCTACATTAAGACAGTAGGTCACATATTGACCAGTCTACATACTACAAGACAGTAGGTCACATATTGACTTCAGTCTACATTAAGACAGTAGGTCACATATTGACTTCAGTCTACATACTACAAGTCAGTAGGTCACATATTGACCAGTCTACATAAAGACAGTAGGTCACATATTGACTTCAATCTACATATTACAAGGCAGCAGTCACATATTGACTTCAGTCTACATTAAGACAGTAGGTCACATATTGACCAGTCTACATACTACAAGGCAGTAGGTTACATATTGACTTCAGTCTACATACTACAAGACAGTAGGTCACATATTGACTTCAGTCTACATACTACAAGACAGTAGGTCACATAATGACTTCAGTCTACATACTACAAGACAGTAGGTCACATATTGACTTCAATCTACATTAAGACAGTAGGTCACATATTGACTTCAATCTACATTAAGACAGTAGGTTACATATTGACTTCAGTCTACATAAAGACAGTAGGTCACTTATTGACTTCAATCTACATACTACAAGACAGTAGGTCACATATTGACTTCAGTCTACATACTACAAGACAGTAGGTCACATATTGACTTCAGTCTACATTAAGACAGTAGGTCACTTATTGACTTCAATCTACATACTACAAGACAGTAGGTCACATATTGACTTCAATCTACATACTACAAGACAGTAGGTCACATATTATTGACACCAATCGATCTCTAAAGCCTCAGCGATTATTTTGTTTATGCACGCTCAGACGTCTCAAAATGAATTATTAGAATTCATTCCACTCACTTCAAATCAATTTAATTGGTTCCTTAATTCAAAGAAAATATCTTGTGTGTGTATATATATATATATATATATATATATATATATATATATATATATATATATATATATATATATATATATATATATATATATATATATATATATATATAGGTTTCTAGATTACAAAATATTTTGTATATAATTGGTTTCTACCCTAAAATAAAACACCGTATTTTAATTGCTTATAGATTTATTTTTACTGGTTTCTAGATTAGAAAGAAAACGATTTCGTATTTATAATTAAATGTTTAAGTAAAATGATTTATGCGTTTTACTGCTTTTTATTTATAAAGAGACGTTCTTTATTTTACTGTGATCTAGGTTATAAGGACATGTTCTTTGATTAATTATTAAGTATTTTGTTGGTTTTTATCTTCAAATTAAATGTGTTGTATTTTATTGATTTCTAGGGAAAAAAAAGAAAATATTCTGTTTTGCAATAAATCTTAGAAAAAGTTAGAATGAAAAATCAACTGTTGTAGTGCGTGTTTTAGACAGGTAAGTAGCTTATGGAGCTACGTGTTTTAGACAGGTAAGTAGCTTAACTTGTGGAGCTACGTGTTTTAGACAGGTAAGCAGCTTATAGAGCTACGTGTTTTAGACAGGTAAGTAGGTTATAGAGCTACTTGTTTTAGACAGGTGAGCAGCTTATAGAGCTACGTGTTTTAGATAGGTAAGTAGGTTATGGAGCTACGTGTTTTAGACAGGTAAGCAGCTTATAGAGCTACGTGTTTTAGACAGGTAAGCAGCTTATAGAGCTACGTGTTTTAGACAGGTAAGTAGGTTATGGAGCTACGTGTTTTAGACAGGTGAGCAGCTTATAGAGCTACGTGTTTTAGACAGGTAAGCAGCTTATAGAGCTACGTGTTTTAGACAGGTAAGTAGGTTATAGAGCTACGTGTTTTAGACAGGCGAGCAGCTTATAGAGCTACGTGTTTTAGACAGGTAAGCAGCTTATAGAGCTACGTGTTTTAGACAGGTAAGTAGCTTAACTTGTGGAGCTACGTGTTTTAGACAGGTAAGCAGCTTATAAAGCTACGTGTTTTAGACAGGTAAGCAGCTTATAGAGCTACTTGTTTTAGCCAGGTGAGCAGCTTATAGTGCTACGTGTTTTAGACAGGTAAGCAGCTTATGGAGCTACGTGTTTTAGACAGATAAGTAGCTTAACTTGTGGAGCTATGTGTTTTAGACAGGTAAGCAGCTTATAGAGCTACGTGTTTTAGACAGGTAAGCAGCTTATAGAGCTACTTGTTTTATACAGTGAGCAGCTTATAGAGCTTCGTGTTTTAGACAGGTAAGTAGGTTATAGAGCTACTTGTTTTAGACAGTTGAGCAGCTTATAGAGCTACGTGTTTTAGACAGGTAAGCAGCTTATAGAGCTACGTGTTTTAGACAGGTAAGTAGGTTATAGAGCTACTTGTTTTAGACAGGTGAGCAGCTTATAGAGCTACGTGTTTTAGACAGGTAAGCAGCTTATAGAGCTACATGTTTTAGACAGGTAAGTAGGTTATAAACTATGTGTTTTAGACAGGTAAGCAGCTTAACTTGTGGAGCTATTGTTGCTGAAGCGACTCACCCCTGGCTTGGCCGTGCCTGAGTCCTGTGACGTACTTGACATGAAGCTGTACCTGGACGAGCCGGGACGTCGGCGGCCCCACTTGCTGCCACGGCCAGAGTTTAACGGAATGTCCACCTTGATGCGAGATAAAACAGTCATCATGTTAGACGGCATGGTGTTGGTCCTTTGGGGGGCACCTCCCTGCCCGCGCCCCCTGCCCCGAGCAGCTTTGGCTAAAGCTGGTGAGCTCATTGTGTTGAGCTGAGGTTAGTTTATGTCAAGTGTGGGGCAGCTACTGACAAAGCTGATTTCTCCTCCGTCATTGGTTGGACGACATTTATTTACTTCATACTCTGCCATGTCATCTCAACTTCGGACTGAACAAAATAAACAGTTGCCATTTTGTTTACGTTTTACTGCAATGGAGTTTCGGTTACTGATAATACACCACAGAGAAAAAGGTTCCACCACCCCACCAGCCCACCCCCACCCACCAAGTGTTGTCACATTTACTCTGCCACATACCCGAGAGCAACATATATATATGGAATCCTATTTCAAAGAATATAAGGAGACCTGTTACAAAAGATATGTGAACCCCCTTTATAAAAAAATGTAGGAACACCTTTAATAAAAGGTTTATTGAGTCCTCTTAAACATGTATTTGAAGCCCTGTTATAAAATATATGTGAAGCCCTGTTATAAAATATATGTGAAGCCCTGTTATAAAATATATGTGAAGCCCTGTTATAAAATATATGTGAAGCCCAGTCATAAAATATATGGGGAGCCCAGACACAAAATATACATGAACACCTTTTACAAAAGGCGTAATATATTTGGAGCCGTCTTGCAAAATACGCGGAACCCATTTACAAAACATGTAGAACTAAGTTCCAACTGATAAATGTAGTTTTTCCAACTGACGCAAATTTTAGTCAATGAGGAATAAGTTTGACCTTTCAATTTATCAGAGATTCAAATTATTTAACATTGCTAAACTTAGGATGACATAATACATCTACACTTAAGTTGAAAATAGAACGTAGAATCGAAACGGTGGCGTATCAAGGTTTTTGCTGTAAGTGAAGCTTGTGAGTTTGATAAAATGTACTGCCATTCCTACCATTTTAAAACGAATTGCAATTATATCAACATACCGGCTTACCATATTCATTCACATATTGTGTTAACATGATATTTTTAAAATTATGATGTAAAACAAGCTATACATTTCGGAAAGATAAATACAAAAAAAATGTATGCAGAAGAAAACATTTGAAGACATCAGATTAAGGACGGGTACACCCCAGGCTACACCCCAGGCTACACCCCAGGCTACACCCCAGGCTACACCCCAGGGTACACCCCAGGCTACACCCCACCCAGGCTACACCCCAGGCTACACCCCACCCAGGCTACACCCCAGGCTACACCCCAGGCTACACCCCAGGCTACACCCCAGGCTACACCCCACCCAGGCTACACCCCAGGCTACACCCCACCCAGGCTACACCCCAGGCTACACCCCACCGAGGCTACACCCCAAGCTACACCCCAGGCTACACCCCAGGCTACACCCAAGGCTACACCCCAGGCTACACCCTAGGCTACACCCCAGGCTACACCCTAGGCTACACCCCAGGCTACACCCCAGGCTACACCCCAGGGAGGACACTGAAGATAAGAGAGGACGGAGAGGCAGGCTGGACAGTTTGGCGCACCAAAGGTTATGGACTACGGGACATGACAGTTTGACGCACCAAAGGTTATGGACTACGGGACATGACAGTTTGGCGCACCAAAGGTTATGGACTACGGGACATGACAGTTTGGCGCACCAACGGTTATGGACTACGGGACATGACAGTTTGACGCACCAAAGGTTATGGACTACGGGACATGACAGTTTGGCGCACCAAAGGTTATGGATTACGGGACATGACAGTTTGGCGCACCAAAGGTTATGGACTACGGGACATGACAGTTTGGCGCACCAAAGGTTATGGACTACGGGACATGACAGTTTGGCGCACCAAAGGTTATGGACTACGGGACATGACAGTTTGGCGCACCAACGGTTATGGACTACGGGACATGACAGTTTGGCGCACCAAAGGTTATGGACTACGGGACATGACAGTTTGGCGCACCAACGGTTATGGACTACGGGACATGACAGTTTGACGCACCAAAGGTTATGGACTACGGGACATGACAGTTTGGCGCACCAAAGGTTATGGACTACGGGACATGACAGTTTGGCGCACCAAAGGTTATGGACTACGGGACATGACAGTTTGGCGCACCAAAGGTTATGGACTACGGGACATGCCAGTTTGGCGCACCAAAGGTTATGGACTACGGGACATGACAGTTTGGCGCACCAAAGGTTATGGACTACGGGACATGACAGTTTGGCGCACCAAAGGTTATGGACTACGGGAAATGAAAGTTTGGCGCACCAAAGGTTATGGACTACGGGACATGACAGTTTGACGCTCCAAAGGTTATGGACTACGGGAAATGAAAGTTTGGCGCACCAAAGGTTATGGACGACGGGACATGACAGTTTGGCGCACCAAAGGTTATGGACGACGGGACATGCCATTAGATTGAAAATTGCATAAAACTGCCAGAAATTTCTTTTCATCGTCTGCCAAATGTCTGCCTTACACCAAGAGATACGAGCAGGGTCTAATTAATTTCGGGCCAGAAATATAGAGATCTACACAGTAACCGACGTAGAAAGCATTTGAATGGAACAAGTAGTAATAAAACTGGACAAAGCCAACGTGTTGTTATCAACCGACAACATTTCTCTAACAACTACTCAAATGAAAGTTCAAAGGTTAAGCTATCGCAACTACTTGGACCCTACTGTGGCACTTTCTTCTCTTCAGTCGCATAGATATCGTAAAATGTAGTAGATGGCCGCCTTCATTAATCTAATGATTAGTTGCCGTCCACACGACTACAAGATAAATACAAAATACTCAACATTTGAGTAAAGATGACAAGATAAATACAACAAACTCAACATTTGAGTACAGACGTTAAGATAAATACAACATACTCAACATTTGAGTAAAGACCACAAAATAAATACAACATACTCAACATTTGAGTAAAGACTACAAAATAAATACAACATACTCAACATTTGAGTAAAGACTACAAGATAATACAACATACTCAACATTTGAGTAAAGACTACAAGAAAACCAATAGTGTGGTACAAACGCCAAAAAGAAAATCGGCGAAGACATTTTACTATTTTTAGCTTCATTATTTTTGTTAGAGATCACTTAATGTTCTTGCTTCAGGTTATTTTATTTTCAATTTTTGGAAAAGGCGCTACTCTCCATAAATTACTCTCATCTCATAGGCTGTTCTTTCCCCCCTCCCCCCTCCTTCCTCAGATACGCCATTGAGTCGAACCACATCTACTAAGAAACAAAAAATAAAATTTGAAAGAAGTTTTTCAGTTTTAAATAGAGAGTGTGATCAACCAAACCGAATCAACGAAAATAGTCGGTCCAAAGGACACAAATAAATACAGTTTTCTCAGAGCTTGAGGTAAATAAGATTTAAAAACATATTCATTTGATTCTGTCCAAAACTCCTAATTGAAATGCCACCCCATCCCTTGCTTCATTCTCCAGTGAAGAATTCCGTTCCGCTTTATTGGTCAGTGAACACAGAAAACAGCGTAACCTATGGAGCTGGCAAACATTTGATATGGGCCAGATAAACTTTAAATATTTAATGGCACCAAGCTCGGCCACCGCGATACACATTTGATTGATTCATTAGTAAAACTTCACTACCCACTAGAAGAACAAATGAAGAACACGTTCAAACAATTCACGAATTGACTCAAAGATCCAAGAATAAACTTGACACAGCAAAAAAAAAGTTGGAAATGAACAGATTGAGTTATTGATGTTTCGTGATGTGGGAGACAACGATCAATGGCTCCCAGTGGCACAATTGTGTGACGCACACAGCGAGAGACAGGAACTCTATGCCGCTTGCAGCGTCACAGTCACAAACTCCAGCTAATTGCTATTGACGAGTACAACTACAACTCGATAATCCCACATTTCAGAACTCACAAAGCAAAAGTGGGTATGAAAAATCCAACATATATTGTACAACTTAACTGCAAAAGTGGGTATCGAAAATTCAACAAAAATTTCAAAACGTACCTGCTTAAGTTGGTCAGTAGCTGTTTCAGGAAACGAAATGATGTGTTTGTAGGAAACAAAAATTTCTGTATTACTGACCACAATTAATTATTTCTGTATTACTGACCACAATTAATGATTTCTGTATTACTGACCACAATTAATTATTTCTGTATTACTGACCACAATTAATGATTTCTGTATTACTGAACACAATTAATGTTTTCTGTATTATTGACCACAATTAATGATTTCTTTATAACTGACCACAATTAATGATTTCTGTATTACTGACCACAATTAATGATTTCTGTATTACTGACCACAATTAATGATTTCTTTATAACTGACGTCCATTAATGATTTCTAAATAACTGACCACAATTAATGATTTTTGTATAAATGACCACAATTAATGATTTCTGTATTATTGACCACAATTAATGATTTCTGTATAAATGACCACAATTAATGATTTCTGTATTGCTGACCACAATAAATTATTTCTGTATAACTGAACACAATTAATGATTTCTGTATAACTGACCACAATAAATTATTTCTGTATTGCTAAGTCACAACACCTGATTATTTTATTATAGCTGACCACGAAAAAAACAGCAACACCTACACATGTTATAGAACCTGGCGTTTAACAAATCAAAGCTACACATGTTATATTAGCTGGCGTGTTGTAACAAATCAAACCTACACATGTTATATTTGATCTTAAAACACTGTCATATAAAACACTCATTGAAGGCAAAATTTGCATCCACCAATCGTATTTTATCGAACGAGTAAGAATCAAAATGTAGATGTGAGGAAATATTACTAGAGGGAATCAAATGTAGATGTGCGGAAATATTACGAGAGGGAATCAAATGTAGATGTGCGGAAATATTACGAGAGGGAATCAAATGTAGATGTGTGGAAATATAATACGATGGAGAATCAAAATGTAGATGTGCGGAAATATTACTAGAGGGAATCAAATGTAGATGTGCGGAAATATTACTAGAGGGAATCAAATGTAGATGTGTGGAAATATAATACGATAGAGAATCAAATGTAGATGTGCGGAAATATTACTAGAGGGAATCAAATGTAGATGTGCGGAGATATTACTAGAGGGAATCAAATGTAGATGTGCGGAAATATTACCAAAGGGAATCAAAATGTAGATGTGCGCAAATATTACGAAAGGGAATAAAAATGTAGATGTGCGGAAATATTACGAAAGGGAATCAAAATGTAGATGTGCGGAAATATTACTAGAGGGAATCAAATGTAGATGTGCGGAAATATTACTAGAGGGAATCAAATGTAGATGTGTGGAAATATAATACGATAGAGAATCAAATGTAGATGTGCGGAAATATTACTAGAGGGAATCAAATGTAGATGTGCGGAGATATTACTAGAGGGAATCAAATGTAGATGTGCGGAAATATTACCAAAGGGAATCAAAATGTAGATGTGCGGAAATATTACTAGAAGGAATCAAATGTAGATGTGCGGAAATATTACTAGAGGGAATCAAATGTAGATGTGCGGAAATTCTACGAAAGGGAATCAAAATGTAGATGTACGGAAATATTACGAAAGGGAATAAAAATGTAGATGTGCGGAAATATTACGAAAGGGAATCAAAATGTAGATGTGCGGAAATATTACTAGAGGGAATCAAATGTAGATGTGCGGAAATATTACTAGAGGGAATCAAATGTAGATGCGCGGAAATATTACAAGAGGGAATCAAATGTAGATGTGCGGAAATATTACGAAAGGAAATCAAAATGTAGATGTGCGGAAATATTACTGGAGGGAATTAAATGTAGATGTGCGGAAATATTACTAGAGGGAATCAAAATGTAGATGTTCGGAAATATTATAAGCGGGAAACAAAATGTAGATGTTCGGAAATATTACCAAAGGGAATCAAATGTAGATGTGCGGAAATATTATGGGCGGGAATAAATTTAGATGTGTGGAATTATTAGGGGCGGGAATCAAAATGTAGATATGCGGAAATATTACGAGAGGGAATCAAAATGTAGATGTTCGGAAATATTGTATCTTGTTCCGCTAATGAAAGGTAGATCAAGTCGTCAGCACCATTTGTTTCACCTTATTAATCGATCCCGCTTTTGACACCTGAGACAAATGCTGGGTGGACTGGAATCGATTGGTGTCCACGGTAACCGAAGATGTCACCCAACGTTTGCAGACACAGGGAAACTTGTTGATGTCGTCAGACATGTGCGCGGTCCTCATCTGACGTCATTCTATAGATCCAGCTATTTACACAGTGGTCTATGCAGATATACGCCATCAATAGAACTGACGGCTGAAGTCTATCCAACGGCTGAGGGTGGAAGTCTAACAACACGACTGAATGTTGAGGTTGAACCGAAGGCTAATTGTTGAAGTCTAAACAAGACTGAATGTTGAAGTCTAACCACACGACTGAATGTTGAAGTTGAACAAAGGGCTAATTGTTGAAGTCTAAACAACAAGACTGAATGTTGAAGTTGAACCAAGTGCTGAATGTTGAAGTCTAACAACAAGACTGAATGTTGAAGTTTAACAACACGACTGAATGTTGAAGTTGAACAAAGGGCTAATTGTTGAAGTCTAAACAAGAATGAATGTTGAAGTTGAACCAAGGGCTGAATGTTGAAGTCTAACAACAAGACTGAATGTTGAAGTCTAACAACAAGACTGAATGTTGAAGTCTAACAACAAGACTGAATGTTGAAGTCTAAACAAGACTGAATGTTGAAGTCTAACAACAAGACTGAATGTTGAAGTCTAACAACAAGACTGAATGTTGAAGTCTAAACAAGACTGAATGTTGAAGTCTAACAACAAGACTGAATGTTGAAGTCTAACAACAAGACTGAATGTTGAAGTCTAACAACAAACTGAATGTTGAAGTTGAAACAAGGGCTGAATGTTGAAGTCTAACAACAAGACTGAATGTTGAAGTCTAACAAAAAGACTGAATGTTGAAGTTGAACCAAAACCGGAATGTTGAATCCTAGCAACATTGTTGAATAGCCATTGGTTATAAATAGACAAGTGTTTACTAGAACGCTATAAAGCCTGCACTAAACAGCAGCATGCGTTTAACGCTATGTAAATCAATGATTAATTAATCATTGTCTGTGCTAGATTTAATGCGGTATAAGTAGATGACAAAGGAATATGCTAGATTTAATGTGGTATAAGTAGATGACAAAGGCCTGTGCTAGATTTAATGCGGTATAAGTAGATGACAAAGGAATATGCTAGATTTAATGTGGTATAAGTAGATGACAAACGCCTGTGCTAGATTTAATGCGGTATAAGTAGATGACAAAGGAATATGCTAGATTTAATGTGGTATAAGTAGATGACAAAGGAATATGCTAGATTTAATGCGGTATAAGTAGATGACAAAGGAATATGCTAGATTTAATGTGGTATAAGTAGATGACAAAGGCCTGTGCTAGATTTAATGCGGTATAAGTAGATGACAAAGGCCTGTGCTAGATTTAATGCGGTATAAGTAGATGACAAAGGCCTGTGCTAGATTTAATGCGGTATAAGTAGATGACAATGGCACAAGGACATAATTTGATAATGATTGGTCGTTTGAAATGTTCAAATGGCAAAAATCATATCGAAACATCAAGGACAGGTTATGTTGTGGGCAGTGGCGTCGCTAGGTCGGGTGTCACCCGGTGCGGCACTTCATGGTGTCACCCCCACCCCTAGTCACAAAGTATATATATATATATATATATATATATATATATATATATATATATATATATATATATATATATATATATATATATATATATACATATATATATATATATATAATTATATACATATATATATATATATATATATATATATATATATATATATATATATATATATATATATATATATATATATGTGTGTGTGGTGTGTGTATGTGTGTGTGTGTGTGTGTGTGTGTTTCGGCCTAAATAGCCCTATAACTAAAACATATGCCGCGTACATGTATGCGTATAAACTTTAATCACTGCAGACTAAAGAGTAACGATGTTTATCTTTAGTCTGTTAATAATACAGTTGAATGTAGCATTGGTTTCTCTATAGTTAGCGCGTTTACATTATGGTGTCACCCCACCCTCTTCTAATAATTATCGATTTGTAATTAAAAGACTATTTAACTTTAATTAATCATTAATGGAACTGGCAAATAAAGCATTTTTCTTAGCAGTTTTTTGCCTTGGTGTCACCCCCCTAAATGGTGTCACCCGGTGCGGTCTGCACCCCCGCCCCGCCCTCGCTACGCCTCTGGTTGTGGGCAAGCCTTCATATACCAATCGATATCTCCATATTGCAGCACCTTTGAAATAATTTTTTTTTAAATTATCCAGTATAAATAAAAAAAAAGTTGCTGTTTGTGCATATATATGTAGGCCTACAGTCTAAATAATCAGGTAAACAATTAATTGTTTTTTTTAAATTTGTACAATAGGGAGACACAGAAGAAGTTTTTAGAGGGGCAAGTAATAAAATGGAAGTAATACATCAGAAGTTTTCAATATATAAAAGGGCAAGTAACAGAATAGAAGCTTTTAGTATAAATGGGACATAATTAAATTGTAGTTTTCAGTACAAAGGGAAAGTAATACAATGGAAGTTTTTAGTAAAAAG